GTGACACAAAGTGCTGGACTGGATCATGGGCCACTGGCCTGATCCAACATGGTTTTTCTTATCTTCTTATGTTCTTTTTTTAAAAATTATTTTTATTACCAATTTTTTCAACAGACAAAACATAACCAAGCAAAAGATAGACACAGCAATAGTTCCAAATATGGGACAGCAGTACCTCTCCAGAATCATCTTCTTATGTTCTCAATCTGAAGATTGGTTCTAATAGCAGGAGATCTCCAGGTGCTGCCTGGAGGTTGTCAGTCCCAGTGGTGGGTCCTCTTGGAGCTCCCAAACTTTTCTCTGAGCTGCCAGCCAAAAACCTATTCAACAGTTAGTAGCCACCAGCCATCAAGAGCAATCAAGATTCATTTAAGAAAGGATCTTCCCATCTTCTGCCTGTTAAAGAAGCTGCTTTAGTCATGGGGAGGGGGCTTGGGCGAAGGTCACCACCTCTGAGCCAGCAGAAATACTCAAGACCTTCTATTATTAGGTTTCCAACCTCAGAAAACAGTAGCTTCAGAGTGCAGACTCCATGATATAACATTGACTCTGGGTGATATCTTTCACTAGCTTCGCCCCTACACTGGCACCCCCTCAAACCTCCAGGAATTTCTCAGGCTGGAGTTGGCAACCTGAAGGCCTGGTGGCCTCCCCGAACCTTATACCCCACTGCCAACTCCGCACCATCCCAAATCCTTCCTTTCCAAAAAGGATGGTGGCGGAGGAAGGAAATAGCCCACTTGGTCAAAGCTCCGTAGCTTAAAAAGAGACATCCAATTAACTCCAAACTTTAAAAACTTATTTCTGGGCAGATATCGCACGCAATCAGCCATATGTGGGAAAAAAAGATTCATTCAGGATGTTGTGGGGTGGGGTAAAAATGATATTTCTCATGGAAACAACTTTCGGGCTTTTCAATGGGCCCACTGTTACAGCGCTATCTCAAACATGCACAGACTCTGACATATGTAAACAGTTCAGTCACAGGAACAATTCTGTGGAATAAAGGGCAGCATTATAGATCGGGAACTTGTCGGTGACAGCAGGATCATTTCTCTCGGTGTCCTTTCGACGTTTAAAGTTGTTTCTAGATTTGGGGTGCGTGGGTGTGTGTGTGAAACATCTGACGTAGTTTCAGCAAGCCTGCCGGCACTTGGGTCGCCATGTCCTTTTCTTGGCAGGGCTCCTATGCATTGCAATTATGAATTTAAACGATGAAATGTTCCCTGGTTGAATTCAGGGCTGGGAGGGAGGGATTTCATTGCCTGAATATCTCCCTTCCTTGTTTACTGGCAATAAGATTCCTGTCAGAGGAAAGGGCACAAGAAAGACTTTTTTTTTTAAAGTGATGGGAAATTTTTTCCCTCCAGTTTCTGCTTCACTCGCTTTCCCTGGTGGCCTGATCAGGTCAAGGTAACAGCTTTGCGATCACTGTGAGTGAGCGGGAGGTCCCTCCTCGCTGCTCCTAAACTGACTCCAGGGTTGCCAGCTCTGGCTTGGGAAACTCCTAGAGATTTTGGGGTGGAGTCTGAGGAGGGCAGGGTTTGGGGTGGGGAGGGACCTCAGCAGGGTATAAGGCCATACGGCCCACCTTCCAAAGCGGCCATTTTCTCCAGGGGAGCTGATCTCGGTCATCTGGAGACCAGTTGTAATTCTGGGAGATCTCCAGGCCCCACCTGGAGGCTGGCAACCCTAGATGGCTCCCAAGTGTTGGGTACCATGACACCTGAACCCAGAACTCTGGTTTAGCTGCCAGAACTGCCTCAACACAGGGAAAGTCGCTGGCCAAACCTCATCTGCCCCACAGCGCCACCCTCAAAATGGCTGGCAGGGGAACTACACGCTGACTAGAGCCGCCCGTGGACAACTGTGGCCTCCAGGCTGGGGCCTTTTGTCTGAGCGACTTGCTGGAAATATGAAAAACCTACCGAATCTCAGTTTCGGGTTGCCAACCTGCAGCCGGCACCTGGAGATATCTCCCACTATTGCAATTGATCTTCCAGATGACCAAGATCAGTTCCTCTGGAGAAAATGGCGGCTTTGGAGGGGGGGCTGTATGGCATTATAACCTGCTGAGGTCCCTCCCCTCCCCAAGCCCCTCCCCCCCGGCTCCACCCCCCAAATCTCCAAGTATTTCCCAGCCCGGATCTGGCAACCCTGTCTCAGTCCTGTTTGCCCTCCTGTTCCTCATTTTGGACTGACCCACGGATTCTGATCAAGATGACCCATGGATAGGGTTGCTAGCCCCCATGCCCAGGCAGGGGTTCCCCCGCTTCTGGGGGCTTCTATCTGCCCCCAGCCAGCTGACCTGCGGGGGAAGCCTCGCTCCCAAGAGTGACCACCCACCCACCCGGCCAGCTCCCGCTCCTCCTGCCTGATTTGAAGGGCTTCAGCCGATTGGTGGGGCCCACAGTGGCCCACTGATCAGCCAAAGGGCCCTTTTGATCTAGCAGGAGGGAGGGAGAGGGGCAGTCACGGGCCGTGTGCTTGGCTTAGCCCGCAAAAGGACCCTGCGGTCTGCCTCTAACCTGACTCCAGGCCTGGCGTGGGCTTCTCGGCCACCACCTTGCAGGGCTCGTTCCCGGGTTCAGTGGGTCATGGACACGGGAGCCCAGGAAGCGGCCTTCTACTGAATCAGCCCCTTGGTCCATCAGAGTCAGGACTGTCCCCTTGGGCTGGCAGTCTCTCTCCGGGGTTTCAGGCAGAGGTCTTCCTTCCGTGAAAGCAAAAGAAGATGCCGGGGACTGGATCTGGGACCTTCCGTGTGCCAAGCAGATGCTCCGCCGTGGAGCCACGGCCCCAGTCCTGGGCAGAGAGGGCCCAGAGCTCTCTCCCTGGCTTGCCCCTGCTCTGCCCTGCTGACACCTCCCTGCCCACCCGCTGGTGTCCTCCTCCTTCGCTGCCCAGCTTCTCCCACCCATGCCTCCCACTCCTCCCAGTGCCCACCCACCCTTTCCCGACCGTGCCGGGCAGTGCATGCCACTGGGAGTGTGGGAGGCTGAGCGGTCAGGTTAGAACGGATAAAAGGAAGTACTTCTTCACCCAAAGAGTGATTCACACATGGAATTCACTGCCACAGGAAGTGGTGGGTGCTACAAGCATGGACGACTTCAAAAGGGAATTAGATAAGCATATGGAGCAGAGGTCCATCGGTGGCTATTAGCCACAAGGTATAGATAGGGGCTCTGGGGCAAGTGATGCTCTGTCTTCTTGGTGCTTGGGGGGGGGCAACAGTGGGAGGGCTTCTAATGTCCTGGCCCCACTGGTGGACCTCCTCATGGCACCTGGTATTTCTGGCCACTCCGTGACACAGAGTGTTGGACTGGATGGGCCTTTGGCCTGATCCAATATTGGCATCTCTTATGTTCTTATGAGGCTCACAAGAAGATGGGCAAAGGGCGGTGAGGGGGTGAGGAGCAGGAGCAGTGGGCCCCACCAGGAGACCTCAGTTCTGGCAGCTGCCCCACCTCAGGCTATGCTGACATCGGCCCAGCCACCTTGGCACCGGACCCTGGGCCAATCCAGATTATAGTTGGGTCGAAACTGCGCGTCTGGATTTTGCCACTAGTCTTTATGTAAGGCTATGTTCCCTGGAAGGCCAGAGACTGAAGCTGAAGCTCAAATACTTTGGCCACCCAATGAGAAGGGAGCCCTCACTGGAGAAGACCCTGATGCTGGGAAAGATTGAAGGTCAAAGAAGACGGGGATGGCAAAGGATGGGATGGTTGGACAGTGTTATCGAGGCAATGAACATGAGACTGAGCACACTCTGGGGGATGGTGGAGGACAGGAGGGCCTGGCGGGATGTGGTCCATGGGGGTCGCAAAGAGTCGGACTCAAGTGTGCAACGGAACAACAATAAATTTTTTGTCTTGGACCAGGGCTAACAGTCGGGGGGCCTCCACCTCCTCATGAAGGCCTTCTGGGAGACAGCACGAAATCTGTCAAGAATTCCTTTCCCACCTAGAGCTGCAGGTGTTCTCCTGGCCCTGGCCCTGGCCCTTAACAGCCGTTCCGCCTGCACCTCTGGATGGGAGAAAGCTGATACCTTCTCCCGAGAGGTAGTGGGGAGGTGAGTTGTCAGGGTTGCCAACTCCAGGTCGGGACGTTCCAGGAGATGGGGGGGGGATGGAGCCTGGAAAGAGTGGGGTTTGCGGAGAGGAGGCTCTCAGTGGGGTGCAACGCCATCGGGTCCACCCTCCGAAGCATCCCCTTTCTCCGGGGGAACTCATCTCAACGGTCTGGCAGGCCAGTTATCCTCCTGAGAGGCCTCTAGGCCCCTACTCCTGGACAGTGTTCCCTCGAAGCCGAGTCAGCGTGAGCGAGCTCACAGTTCTTTAGCCTCCGGCTCACACGTTTTTGTCTCAGCTCAGGAAGGAGGGCTCCAGAGCAGACGAATTGATGCCGCAGCCAAATCGCTCGCTCACAACTTTAATGCCAGGAACCTTGCGTCCCGGAGGCCGGCAACCCTGTGCTCTAGATCCCGCACCCGGCTGCGGTGACTTCCCGCAGGACGCGCCTCCCAGGTGCTTCTCGGAAAGGGAGATGTTTGCAGCCTAGGCGTAATCTTCGTGGGGGTGGCGGGGCTTCAGCCCCTGCCGAAATTTTCAGGAAGGTGCTCAGCCTCCCCCGGGAGCCACCCTTGCTCCTAGCACAGCAATCCCCCCCCCCCCCCCCCCCCCCCACACACACACCGGGAAATTGGAAAGTCTACACCCTTGAGCCACCTGCCCGTTTAACTAACCCCCCTGGCTGGGAGGCCGGGCCTGTGTGGCCTCCGCCGGTGCCTGCCGCTGGGGCTGGGCGCGGATCATGGGAAGCCTGCGGGGCAGCCCGAGGAGAGGAGAGGAGGGGAGGAGGAGCCGCGCGGTCCTGGCCGGTGGCGGCTGGCGCTGGGAGCTGGTGGGCTCGGCGGGGAGGGAGACTTCTTAGACGGCGGCGGAGGCGTCAGGTTTCAGTCCGGCTAGTAGTTGGAGTCTCCTCGCCGTGACTCACAGGGAGCCCGCCTGAGGGAGAGGGAGAGAGAGAGGCAGAGGGAGGGAGAGCGCCGCCTTCGTGCCACTCGGGCTCCCGGCCGGCGGGGGAGAAGAAGAAGAGCCGCAGCCGCCTCGGCCTCCCTCCCACCCGCTGCCCTCCTCGCCCCGCAGCAGCAGACGACGACGACGACGACGCCCTCCTCCGCCGAGATGCCCCCCAGCAGGTAAGGCGCCCCCTGCCGCCTGCCCCTCTCCCCTCCTCGGCCTCCCCTCGAGGGGGACCTCCGTCGTCGTAACGCTGCCCTTCTCTCTCCTGCCCCCCCCCTCCAGTCACTCCCTGCGCCGACGGCAGCGCCCCCCCTGGAAGGCGCTCTGCCTGCTCTGGGCCTCCCTCCTCCCGCCGGCCGTCCTGCCCGCCCAGGTCATCGAAGGTAAGGCAGCCTCCGCCTCGGGGAGTCGTCCTCCTCCTCGCTCGGGCGTCGTCGAGCCGAAGGGGGATGCCGGAGCGTGGCCCGCTGGGGTGGGCGACGGGAGGCGTGGGGGGGCGGCGGCGGCCGGGGTCGAGGCCGGCCTCTCCGGAGGCGGCAGGGGCGCCGAGGGACGCTGGACTTTGCCTGCCGCTTTCCAGCCGCTTCCCGGCCACTTCCCCGCTGGGCTTCTTTGACAGTTGGCATTGCTGCCCCTGCTGGCTTTTCCCTCCCTCGGTTTGGGGGACCCGCCCTGGCTGGAAGAAGAGAATGCACCCCCCTCCCCCTCTGCAGGGCACGCCGCTTGCGCGCTCTCTGAGCACCGGGCTTTAGGGTCCCTCCCGCCTGCATTTAGGGAGCTGCGGTGGCTCAAGGGGTTAAGACGCTGAACTGCAGGCTGTGGAAGGTCGGTAGTTCAGCAGTTCGAGACCCGGGTGCCGCATGACGGAGTGAGCTCCCGTCTCTAGTTCCAGCTCCTGCCAACCTAGCACTTCGAAAGCAAGAAATTGCAAGTAGATAAATAGGTACCACTTCAGTGGGAAGGTAACAGCGTTCCGTGAGCCTTGGTGTTTACTCATGCCGGCCACATGACCACGGAAACGTCTTCGGACAGCGCTGGCTCTTCGGCTTTGAAACAGAGATGAGCACCGCAACCCTAGAGTCGGATTCGACTGGCTTTCGGGCAAGGGAACCTTTACCTTTACTGCCTGCATTTATAGTCCTCCAGGGGTGACTTTGCAGTCGGCAGGGCCTTGTCCCCGCCGGGTATCTGGATGTGGTTTCGAGCTGCACTTTTGGCCTCGGGCAGTTGAGGAGATGTGGAGCCAATGCTAGGTGCAGAATCGCCCTGGTAGTGAAATCCAGTTGGAAAGTGCTCTGGAAGTGGATGATTTCGTGCCTGTGACCAATGCTCCCTCTAAGCTGTGGAGTCTTGTGAGCAAAAATTCTACTTTGTGAGCTGCTGAGATTAAAAGTTGTGAGCCAGCGATTGGGCTACTGCATCGATTAGTCTGCTCTGGAGCCCTCCTTCCTGAGCGGAGACAAAAATGGATGAGCCGCCGGAGGCTAAAAAACTGGGAGCTCGCTCACACTCACTCAGCTTAGAGGGAACACTGCCTGTGACTGCAGGGAAACTCCTTGAAACAGAATTGTAGCTGGCTTTGGGGGGCGGGGTGGGGACACGGGCAGAGGGGTGGGGTGTGTGGACAGCCTCATGGGGGGGTGCTTACTTTTGCAGTTGCTGTGCATTTTTTTTGGGGGGGGTTATTGTTCTTACCTGCTGGAAGCCTTGAAGGGGGAGTGAGGGCCAGCATGCCAGCCCGGAACTCTTCCAGCCAGCCTCCGTGATGCTGGGTAACACTGGCCTGGTTTAGAATCAGCTTCCAAAATGTGCCGGTTGCAAAGTCCATTGGGGGGAAGGGTGCAGGTGACCATCCCTTTTCATCCTCCCAGCAATCTTGGGAGGTTCGGGCTGGGAGAGGGAGAGAGCGGAACTCTTCCAGCCAGCCTCCGTGATGCTGGGTAACACTGGCCTGGTTTAGAATCAGCTTCCAAAATGTGCCGGTTGCAAAGTCCATTGGGGGGAAGGGTGCAGGTGACCATCCCTTTTCATCCTCCCAGCAATCTTGGGAGGTTCGGGCTGGGAGAGGGAGAGAGGGAGGGCTCCAGAGCCAACTCATTTATGCAGCAGCCAAATCGCTCCCTCACAGCTTCAATGCCAGCGGCTCACAAAGTAGAATTTTTGCTCAGAAGACTCCACAGCTTAGAGGGAGCCTTGTTGCCAACCTCCAGCTGGGGCCCCAAGGCTTCCCGGAATGACAACTGGCCGCCAGATGTAATTCCCCCCCCCCCAGGCAACCTCTCACTTTCCCGGCTTACTTTGCGGGCTGGGGGGGCTACCTCTCACTTTCACGGCTTACTTTGCTGGCTGGTGTGCATTCAAGCTATTGTTGGCCCGACCACACTGGTTCTCTGGCGGGAACAATCAGTCGGACGTCTGTATGAATTAGCCTCAGGGCATCTGAACAGAGTGGAGGTGTCAGAGGGCAACATTGCGTCCCCTCTGTGGTCTGCAGCCCTCTCAGGAAAGTGAGTGAGAGGACAGTTAGGGCAAAGGGGGGGGGCTGCTGTGCCAGACTCGGCTCCCCCCCCCCCCCCCCCCCCCCCCCCCCCCCCCCTTCCCCCCCCCCTTGGG